AGAACATGCAAACTCCACACAGAAATGCTAACTGGTCCAGCCGGGACTTGAACCAGTGACCTTCTTGCTTTGAGGCGACAGTGCTAACCACCGAGCCACCATGTCAATTTTGGAATATAATCTTATTGGTAACACTTGTATAACTCTGATTAATTAATTGTAGTAATTACATTAAGCTATTTGAAATAATCAGAACAAGTAAAAACAGTTCAGGTTTACAAAAAGAAACGCAGATAAAAACAAAAAATTTATACTTTACAGGTAATTTTGAAAAACAACATGCACTTATGAAGGAATAACCTGAAAAATGTCTTCTAGGGGCAGATAATGCCTTTATGGTTATTTACCATCTTAAATAAACCCCGTAGACCATGAACATAAACATCATTACGTCACTTTACAGAAAGTGGAGAGAGAAATGTTTTACCCACCAGTCATTTCACATAATCCTAGCACTGTAAAAATTAAAGTAAATGAGGTGAAAATGAGTTGAGGTTACAGCGTTCGTAATGAGTTTAATTAGTCCCAGGTTTGGTTTGTTCACAGTTATTCATTGGCATGAAGGGCACGGGATGTGATGTTATATGGCAATTCATGATAATGACTAAATAAGATCAATTACACATCTTATATAACCCAATTACATTTCTAGCAAATTACATTGTTTAAATCAGCACAAATAACACTGCATCACAATTCATCAATCAGTATAGACTTTAAAATATTAAATACAAGATTAATGACATGATATTCATATGGTTATACAACCCCAAATCAGAAAAAGTTGGGACAGTATGGGATATGCAAATGAAAAGAAAAGAAAGAAGTGATTTCTAAAATTACTGACTTGTATTTTATTGCAGACAATACAGCAGCACTTTATTTGCTGTTCCTCCTCGTGATTTATTTCCTTTTTTAATAAACACATATTTAAATTTTGGTTCTTGCAGCACATTTTTCAAAAAGTTGGAAGAGTAAAGCATTTACTACTTTGTAATGTTGCCATTACTTTTCACAACACTTAAAAGAGGTTTAAGAAAACATCAAGTAATGAAGTATTTCAGGTGTCATTTTGTCCCATTTGAGCTGCAAACAAAGTTTGTCCCATTCATTCCATCAAAATGGGCCACACATACTCTATTGAAAATAGTTCGGGACTGCAGGCAGGCCGGTCAAGTACCTGTAACCTCTTTCTCTGCAGCCTGGTCTCTGTATTGTGTGCAGACTGTGGTTTTGCATTGTCTTGTTGAAATATTCATGGGCATCACTGGAAAAGAAGGCAGCATATCCGGGTCCAAAATCTCTGTGTACTTTTCAGCATAAATGGTGCTTCACAGAAGTGCACGTTACCTTTCCTAAAGGCACTAACACAACGCCATACCATGACAGACCCTGGCTTTTGGACTTGTTGCTGGTAATAGTCTGGATGTTCCTTTTCTTCTTTGGCCCGGAGCACGTGGCGTCAATTTATTTCTAAATTTACTTTGACTTGTATATTATTGCAGACAATACAGCAGTACTTTATTTAATGTGTTTATTTAATGTATTTTTTTAATAAACACATATTTAAATTTTGGTTCTTGCAGCAGATTTCAAAAAAAGAAGTTGGAGCAGTAAAGCATTTACCACTTTGTAATGTTGCCATTTCTTTTCACAACACTTAAAAGACATTTAAGGGACTGAAGACAGGTGTAATTTTGTCCCATTTGTCCCATCAAAATGCGCCACACATTCTCTATTGGAGACAGGTCGGGACTGCAGGCAGGCCAGTCAAGTACCTGTAACCTCTTCCTCTGCAGCAAGGACTTTGTAATGTGTGCAGACTGTGATTTTGCATTGTCATAATCATTCATCATACTGAGCTCAAGGCTGTGTTGTGTTTTATTTTATTAATTTATATTTTTTTTATTTATTTATTTATATAAATTTTTAAATTTTTAAATTTTAATTTTTATTAACTTATTTTTTTTTTTTCACTCATTTGTTTGTTTTTGTTTTTAATGTAATCTATTTATCCAATAATATATGCATTCATTTGTTTATTGGAAATTATTTCATATATTTATATTTATATTTCTTTCTTACTTTTATCTATATTTTTTTATTAATTAATTAATTAATTTTTTTTATTTATTAAATAATTTATTTTTCATTTCATTTAGTTATTCATTAATTTATTAGATTATTTATTTATTTAGATTACTATTATTATTATTATTATTATTATTATTATTATTATTATTATTATTTAGCATAAGGAGCTCAAGGCTGTTTTGTGTTGTGCCATTTATTTTATTCATTTATATTTTATTTAATTCATTCATTCATGCATTTTATTTATTTATTTATTTATTTATTTATTTAATTCATTTTTCATTTATTTTATTTATTTATTAATTAATTAATTTTTTTATTTCATTAAATTTCTTTCTGTCTATTTATTTATTTATTTAATTATAATTACATTAATTAATTAGTTAAATATTTAGTTATTGAGCATCAGAAGCTCAAGGCTGTGTTGTGTTTATTTATTTATTTGTTATTTTATCTAATTAATTAGTTAATTTCATTCAAATTATTAATTTATTTCATTTATGTATTAATTTCATTTAACTTATTATTTTATTTCATTTATTTATTTTTCAAGTTATTAATTTATTTATTTATTCATTTTTATTTATTCATTTATTTATTTAATCATCTAGCATACAGAGCTAGAGGCTGTGTTGCTTTGTATTTATTTAATTATTTATTTATTTATTTTTTTTATCATTGGTTTATTAAAGTTCCCAGTGATGGGTTGCGGCTGGAAGGGCTGGAAGGGCTCTTCCTCTGCCGCCAGGACTTTGTAATGTGTGCAAACTGTGATTTTGCATTGTCTTGTTGAAATATGCATGGACATCACTGGAAAAGAAGGCAGCATATCGTGTTTCAAAATCTCTGTGTACTTTTCAGCATTAATGTTGCATCACAGAAGTGCACGTTACCTTTGACTTGTATTTCATTGGAGACAATACAACAGCACTTTATTTAATGTCTTAAGGTGTGCAAAAGTACAGGATCTTCATTGTCGCATTTCAAAATGCGCTACACATTCTCCGTTGGAGACAGGTCAGGACTGCAGACAGGCCAGGAGCATTTTAGGGCTAGTAATGAGGTAAATTGGTTAAATATTGATGTGATTTGAAACAGGTGATATCAACAGGTGTTTGTAATTATGATTTGGTACAAAAGCACCAAGGTCTATTGCTTTTAAAGCAAAGATGGGCTGAGTATTGCCAGTTTGCCAACAAATAGATGAGAAAATTATTGAAATATTTAAAAGCAGTGTTCCTCAAAGAAATATAGGAAGACATTTATATAGTTCAATTTCAACAGTTATTAAAAGAATCAAGGAGTCTTGAGGAATTTTAGTGCATAAAGGACAAGGGCAGAAGCCTGAGCTGAACAACCGTGATCTCTGATCCCTCAGGAGACATTGCATCAAGAATTATCATTCATCAATAAGCCATATAACCACATGGGCTCAGGACTACTTTGGCAAACAAGTGTCAAGTACTACAATATATAGCTACATCCACAAATGCCAGTTTAAACTTTACTGTGCCAAAATTTGAAATTTATTTATTTAACAGCGACAATGCTAATCAACAGTAAACATGTAAATAAGCCAGAGTTAGCCACAAGGGCTAATTTTTATCTGTTTCCCCCTGCCAAAAGGAAGCCCTATGTTAACAGTGTCCAGAAGTGTTGTCGACTTCTCTGGGCTCTGAGGCGTCTGGAATGGACCATCACACAGTGGAAACCTGTACTGTGGTCAGATGATTAAGTATTGCAGATATTTTTGGGGAGGAATGAATGCCATTTACTCCGGACCAAAGACGAAAAGGATTATCCAGACTGTTACCAGCAACTAGTCCTAAAGCCAGTTTCTGTTATGGTATGGGGTTGTGTCAGTGCCCTTGGCAAAGGTAACTTGCCCTTCTGCGGTGGCACTATTAATGCTGAAAAGTACATAGAGATTTTGGAGCACAGCATTCTTTTCCATGGACACTCATGCATATTTCAACAAGACTGGCTGTGGAGGTTGTGTACTCTTGACCTGTCTCCAATAGAGAATGTGTACAGCATTTTAAATCACAGGACGAATTGGATTAAATTTGCTTGCAGGTTGATTGGGACAAAATGACACCTGAAACACTTCATCACTTGGTGTCTTCAGACCCTGAACATCCCAAAAGTGTTGTTATAAAAGGGCAAAAAATTGTGTGCTTATTAAAAAAAAAATCATGCGGAACACAGTAAATAATGTGTGTTGTTTTGTCTACAATGAAATACAAGTCAAAGTAAATTTAGAAATCATTTTCTTTTTTTATTAGCATTTTCCTGTCGCAACTTTTTTCTTATTTGGGGTTGTATCTTGAAAAATATCTAGTAAAATATTTTGTAGTGTAATCATGGCAAAAAATAAAATAAATCACTTATTAAAAATTATTTAAAAAAAAAATATTACGTTTAGAAATTTGTTGAGAAAAAAATCTTATTTTTGTTAAACAGAAATTAGTGAAAAAATGATCTAATAATTCAGAGGGCTAATAATTCTGACTTCAACTGTGTATCATATTCATTGAATTATATATAACAGGTATATAGACCAAAACAAGTCATACATGTTTGGATGCAGCAAAACTGGAGTGAATGAATAATGTCAGAAATGTTAAGTTTTGTGAACCGTCCCTTGTGGGGGGTCGGCTTGTTTTTGGATGAGCACACAGTGATGTATGTTTTTGTTCTGTCCTCCATCTATAGCTCTTCTGGGACAGTGATGGACACGTTCCTGCCTGTGCTTGAGTCTCTGTTTGGTCCATCTATATTTCATAGATTTTGTCTCTCTTTGTTTGGGTGTCTCAAACATCTTTCTCTCTCTGTTCAACTTTCCACATTTTGGCTTTCCTCTCACGTTGGTTATACTGAATTCTCTGGATTTCTGTGTTTTTCAGTGGTGAGACGGTATCCGGTGTTTTTGGGCCGAGCGCATCGCTCTTACACCCGTCAGGAGCCGCTTTACATTCAGACCGTCCTCAGAGTCAACCGTACACTTTACATTGGAGCCAGGTAACACTCGCCTGCATTCATAATCACTTAGCATACGGAGCTCAAGGCTGTGTTGTATTTTATTTATTTATTTATTTATTTATTTATTTATTTATTTATTTATTTATTTATTTATTTATTATTTTTTGTTAACTTATTTATTTATTCACTTGTTTGTTTGTTTTTATTTTTAATGTAATCTATTTATCCAATAATTTATTTATTCATTCGTTTATTTGAATTATTTCATATGTTTATATTTATATTTCTTTCTTTCTTTTATCTATATTTTTTCTTAATTAATTAATTAAATAATTAATTAATTAATCTTGTTTATTTATTAATTAACTTATCTTTTATTTCATTTAGTTATTCATTAATTTATTAGTTTATTTATTTATTTAGAATATTATTATTGTTATTATTATTAATATTAATTTAGCATAAGGAGCTCAAGGCTGTTTTGTGTTGTGCTGTTCATTTTATTCATTTATATTTCATTTTATTAATTTATGCATGCATTTAGTTATTTATTTAATTCAATTGTTTATCTCATTTATTTAATTATTAATTAGTTTTCATTAATTTTTTTATTTATTAACTTATTTATTTGTTTAGTTAATTAAATTTCTTTCTGTCTATTTATTTATTTATTTATTTATTTTTAATTATGATTTCATTAATTAATTAATTTAGTAATTTAGCATGTGAAGCTCAAGGCTGTGTTTATTTATTTATTTATTTATTATTTTATGTAATTAATTAATAAATTTATTTATTTCATTTAAATTATTAATTTGTTTCATTTATTAATTAATTTCATTTAACTTATTATTTAATTTAATTTATTTATTTTTCAAGTTATTCATTTATTTATTTATTCATTTTTATTAATTCATTTATTTATTTAATCATCTAGCATACGGAGCTAGAGGCTGTGTTGCGTTGTATTTATTTATTTATTTATTTATTTATTTTGTTTATCATTGGTTTATTAAAGTTCCCAATGATGAGTTGCGGCTGGAAGGGCATCCGCTGCGTAAAACATATGCTGGATAAGTTGGCGGTTCATTTCGCTGTGGCGACCCCGCTACCCCAGATTAATAAAGGGCTTAAGCCGAAAATTGAATGAATAAATGAATGAGTGTTTTATATATTCATTCATTTATTTATTCATTATTTTATTTCATTTATTTGTGTATTTATTAAATTAAATTAAATTATTGTTGTATTTTTTATCCTAACATTACCTAAAATACTATGTTGTATTAATTATTTAGCCTATTACATAAAAATAAAAACCATGCTCTGTGGTATATGACAGCACGTTAAATCAACACAATAAATTAAAGTTCTAATGCCAATCACCCTGCTAGTGCACATTATAAAATAATATGACATGATATTCATTTCCACTCTTATTAAAAACTCTCCATTTCACCACATCGTCTTACCTAATTGGTCTTAAACAAAAATGACATTTTACACAAAGAGAAAATGTCATTACCACTCAACACATTGAGCCGATAAGAAAACATATTCTCTTCAGAATGTCAAAGAGTGTGTGCACGTGTGTTTTGACAGAAAACCTGTGTTCAGTTTGACTGCAGGTACATTTGGTTACATTTCTGAAATCCATCACACGGACAGGCCTTCAAAGGATCCTGATCTCGAGGGAGTTGACATGTGCTGCTGGTTAGGCCGCGGTTGAAAGTGAAACCCCTGTTCGCTGACCTTTAACCATTACACAGTCAAGCTTCTTAAACGCTTGCTTTCTCTCAAGCTGGAGAACAGATAGAGTCCATCTTGAGTTTCTGAGCACTCTTAAAAACTCTTAACCAACTTTTTCATACAGCCCATAATGCTTTGCGTGGATCATGGGAGAATCTTACGTTAACCTATAGTCAATACGTTAACCACACAGTTAATATTTTCTTTTGCCTTTTATCAATGTTAATATATGTATATGTTTTAAGAAAGAACATTATTATTGTTTTAACAATAATAATAATAATAATAATAATAATAATAATAATTCATTCATTTTCTTTTTGACTTAGTCACTTTATTAATCTGGGGTCACAACAGCGGAATGAACCGCCAACTTATCCAGCTTATGTTTTACACAGCAGATGCACTTCCAGCTGCAACCCATCACTGGGAAAATTTTAATAATAAAAATAATAATAAAATAATAATAATAATAATAATAATAATGATAATAATAATAATAATAACAACAATAATTATCAATGTTAAAATATGTATATATTTTACGAAAAACATTATTATTATTATTATTATTATTATTATTATTATTATTATTATTATTATTATTATTATTATTATCATTATCATTATTATTTTAAATTATTATTGTTATTGTTATTATTACTATTACTATTATATTAATGATAATAATAATTATTATTATAAATATATTGCAATTAAAATAATATTTTAACTTATTTTTTATATAAAAATACAAAAGCTAATAATAATAATAATAACAATAAATATCAATGTTAAATATGTATGTTTTAAGAAAAAACATTATTTATTATTATTATTATATTTTTATATTATTATTATTATTATTATTATATTAATGATAATAAAATTATTATTAATATTAGAAATATATTATAATTAAAATAATATCTTATAACTTATTTTATTATATAAAAATACTAAATCTAATAATAATAATAATAACAACAACAACAATAATTATCAATGTTAAAATATGTATATGCTTTAAAAAAAACATTATTTTTATTATTATTATAATTTTAAATTATTATTATTATAAATATATTGTAATTGAAATAATATTTTAACTTATTTTATTTTGTAAAAATACTAAAGTTAATAATAAAAACAATAATTACAAATGTTAAAATATGTATATATTTAAGAAAAAACATTATTATTGTTATTATTATTATTTTCAATTATTATTATTATTATAAATATATTGTAATTAAAATAATATTTTAACAATTTTATTATATAAAATACTAAAGCTAATAATAATAATAATAATAATAATAATAATAATAATAATAATAAAACAATAATAATTACATTTATAATTATTATTTTTAGCAGTTTATAAAAAAATTTAAATTTATATTTCATTTAATGCCTCACACTTTACATCCAGGTAAAGATATCGGATTCAAAACCTTTACTTAAAAATTAAGTTGCCTTGCTGTGCAAATTGTTTCTCCACAAATTTTAGTATATACTGTAGAATAAACTTCATGCAGTTTTCATACTCCTAATGATGCTTGGTGTGTGTGTGTTGGTGCAGAGATGACCTTTATCGAGTGGAATTGGACCATGTATCTGGAGATGAAATGTTCTACAGCAAGGTGAGCTTGTACTGATCTTTCTTTTTCTCTCTCTCTCTCTCTCTCACACACACACACACACACACACACACACACACACACACACACACACACACACACACACACACACACACACACACACACACACACATAAATAATTGCATGTATAAATTATTTGCCTTGAATGCTGGTGATGATTTTATTCCCTTGTCGTTTTTGCAGAAAAGAACATGGGAATCCAACAAGAATGACATCCGCATCTGTAGAATGAAGGGCAAACACGAGGTAAACGTTCAATGGCAAAACACTGAAGTTTATTTTCTATTTCATTGCCTTTTAACCACTGCCCGAGCGTGTAAGTTCATTTACAGCAATTTGAGTTATTTACTCTATGATTTAGACCTGTGGCGGAGCTGAAAACTCTCATTTCATAAATTCTCCCAGAGAGTAAATGCACAGTGTGGGGAGTTTGCTTTATATTTGCAGTCTCACAGGAAAACGTCACTCTTGCCTCTCAGCCGATGCTTTTAACTTTATTGCTAGTGATTGTTAGTGTTGTTTAGTCTCAGATGTTATTGGCAGGTCTGGATTTTTCTACGATTTGCTTGGGTTTTTGACTTATGCTGTATTTATTAGGTCAATACTGCTGCCAGCTACCTTGTATTGTGTTTTATCTCATACACACTCAGAATTAAAGGGACTAAATCTGTCGGTACACTTTTGTACCATACAGGTGGACATTTGATTTGATTTTGATTTGATTTATTTATTTTTGAACAAAAATATCGTACATAAAATATTAACAAATATTAACAAAAAATACATTTCAACATGGTCGAAAATAGAGTGGGATGAAGCGCAAGCTTATTATTCTCCCATTCCATTACCACACACCTCATTCGTCCATTACTTGAAATTATTTCTTCTTTTACTTATCTCTTCTTTTTTCATGTAACACATTTCATACTTTTGCCATCTTACTGTATATGTTTGATTCCATTTGTACCTTTACATTTTGTAACAGACAAATAGAGCACTCATTTTCTTACTAATTGGAAAATCAAACCTTTTCCCTGATGGTTGCCAAACCTGCTATGAGTATAACCGCATTCACCATCGGGAGGCGCTATAATCACTCTCGTAGTAGAATTTTGCTTTTACCATCCAAAATAAATGAAGTTATCCGACATGTGCGCCCGATAGCTCCGCCCCTTCCACTACGTGAGCAAACTTGCGGTCGTTGAGTGCGTAAAGTGTCCATCATTCCACAATTCATTTTACCTGCTGAATAAGTGCATCATCTGGGTAATTAAAGTGCACTTATTATTTTTCAGTGTGAACACACTACTTACACTATTTATACTACAAAATGGCGTAGAATAGTGCATAAGTATGCGATTTCAGATGCAGCTAATGTCGTATAGGTCCTCTGAAAGGCCCACCCCCAAGAGGCTCTGATTGGTCAGCTAACATAATGAGCTGTGATTTGCGGATTGGCTCCATGTCACCACGTCACACCCCTGTGTTAACAGTCGAGTCAGAGCAGCTGTTAGCTGCCTGAATCAGACAGAAAAAGGAAGAGCACACAGCTAAACCTAACCCCTGCTCTCTAAAATAACATCTGACAAGTGTCTTTCACGTATATGAATAATAATATGAAACGTTCACATGTCTTTTGTGAGTTTGTTATTTGAGATGTAGAATGCAGGGAAAGCGGTTGCATAAAGAGATGCCAGTGCTGCTGAAGATTGTGGGTGTTTACAGCGGTTTGACTGATAAATTTGAATCTGTAGCTAAATAAAATAAAGGTTGTGGCTCACAATCCACAGCTTTGTCGAACTGGGAGAGATTCTGGAAGCTGTCCTTTATCAAATGCTTGCTATATATTTTTTTATAATTCTCTGGAACATAATTGAAATTAAATTGTAAGCAAAATTTTGATTGCAAAATCCTTTGGAAGCCCAAATACAGAAGAAGCTCTGTGGAAATAGCAGCAATTGGATGGCATTTTAGCTTTCTCTGCTTTAACATTACAGCTCCTCTGGCCACATGCATGGTGAATGCACGTAACCGGAAGCCCTTGTGATTTCATTAGACCATATGTATTTTTTTGTAGTCCCCAAACTTCATTCGCTGTAGGCTTTGCTAAGTTAACTCTATAAAAGCTAATGTCTCCCTTTGCATTGAACTTTGATCGTCTTACATTCAGAAATGTCGTTTTTGTTCTCACAGCTACATTACACGTCAACTAAAGTTTAAAATATGATATCGTAGTGGACCACTCTTTAAGATATGTAATAGCAAATTATTTATCTACCTCAACGAACTTGTAAGCCTCTGAGAGGCTTGGCTTTGCTTCATGAAGTCTGGAAAGGACCACACCGCACCATTAAAAAAATCCTAAACCTTATGCACATTTTTAACCCCTCGTTGATAAGAATGTTATTATTATTCAAAATCAGTCACATCTTGTTGAAGCACATTTACTTGGATTTTTTTTTTATCACTGCAGTGAAGGTCTTTGACCTCCAAGTGTCAGCTCCTTGCTTCCCTGAAGTCTAATGCGGGGTTTGGGGTTAAAGCTTTTTGGGCTTTACGGTGATCAGCCAGTCAACATCACCCAGACACCAGCTGTAATAGCAAAATATTTTCTTCCTGTTTACAAGAAATACATTGTAAAGGGCCATGACCCAACCCCATCAGCAGGGTGTTTTCACACCTCTAGTTTGAAAAAGTCAGGAAAGTGGGTGAGACCAGCTCTGTTTAGGTGGGAGTGTCGAGTGGCGAAAGAGGGAAGGCTTTGCATGAAAAGGGGAGTTTCGATACAGGCACTTCAGCTGATTTTCACACCAGCAACACAAACACTGATGAAGGGGAGATGACTACATTTACATGGACATCATTACTCAAATGATTTGCCTTAATCAGAGGCAAATCAGTTCCTTTCATGATCCCGTTTTACATGTTATTCATTCATTCATTTTCTTGTCGGCTTAGTCCCTTTATTAATCCGGGGTCGCCACAGCGGAATGAACCGCCAACTTATCCAGCAAGTTTTCATGCAGCGGATGCCCTTTTAGCCGCAACCCATCTCTGGGAAACATACACATTCACACACACACTCTTACACTACGGACAATTTAGCTAACTGTGGGGGAAGTCGGAGTACCCGGAGGAAACACTTGTGAACACAGGGAGAACATGTAAACTCCACACAGAAACGCCAACTGAGCCGGGGCTCGAATCAACAACCCAGTGATCTTCTTGCTGTGAGGCGACAGCACTACCGGCTGCGCCACTGCTTCGCCCTACATGTTATAGCACATAATTCGATTAACATCATTGCTTCATTGCCACGCTATCCACATTTCCTCAAGGTTTCATGTAATTTCAGGTGTTTCATGTAATGTATAAACTCAGGCAGTTCACAGAATGTGATTTTACTGGAAGGCAGTGTACTTTTGTTTTAGCAGGTTGTGTTTGTTTGGCTTTTACACAGAGCATTTGCACCTGACAGCTCCGGCACATTTCTCTTAAAGAAACTCAGCAATGAGCAATCAACATGCTGCTTTGGTAAAAACAGCTGTTATTCTATCATTACATAATGAACAGCAGAAGTTAAGGTGATTTTAGGAAAATGATTTGCCATTTTATTAGCAAACGTGGCCTTTAATGCAGGAGATCGGTTGAAGGAGGAATCACAATGATGGCATACAGTGGACTAGTGATATTATAGCTGCACATTTAACTACAAATCGCTCTTTTTATGCACATTAAAATATATGAATGCACAATGTGCAACTTTCTTCATGTAATTATAATGAGTAGTTATAAAAACTGTAAATCTGTTTGCAGAAATGTAAAGATTCTCTGCATTTCATCTGCAAAAATGAAATAAATAAAAGGACATCCATAAATACAATTAGAGTATTTATAAATATCCCTGTGTTGACGTGGGTTTCCTTCGGGTTCTCTGGTTTACCCCACAGTCCAAAGACATGTGCTATAGGTGAATTGAATAAACTAAATTGGCCGTAGTGTATGTGTGTGAATGAGTGTGTATGGATGTTTTCCAGTACTGGGTTGTAGATGAAAGGGCATCCGCTGTGTAAATCATATGCTGGATAAGTTGCCGGTTCATTCTGCTATGGCGACCCCTTCTCATACTTCAGCCTCCACATCAAAGTTCCTGAAATCAAAGAAGGTCAAGGTGCTCCAGGATTGGCCAGCCCAGTCACCCGACATAAACATTATTGAGAATGTCTGGGATAAGTTGGTGGAGACATTAAAGATCAGTCCAAAGAATCTTAATGAACTCTGGGAGTCCAGCAAGAACGCTTTCTTTGCCATTCCAGATGACTTTATTAATCAGTTATTTGAGTCATTGCAGAGATGTATGGATGCAGTCCTCCAAGCTCATGGGAGTCATAAACAATAATAATTCTTTTTCCACTGCACCATGACTTTATATTCTATACTGGACATTATTTCTGTTTAGTAACAAGACTTTTGTCTAAGCAGAGTCAGACCTTACTCTCCTAGTTAAATAATAAAAAAATCAAGGCATGATCATATTTTATTTTGGTAAAAGAAGCGTAATCTAGAGGCCTTTGCCTTTAGATAAGCCACTTCTGATACCAAATAATCAACTAGAAGTCAAGTTATTATTTGTTGTTCCTAAAACTTGGAAAGATGACAAGTCTTTTGTCAGGGACTGTAGAACCATAAATTCAAATTATGACTTTTAATAAAAAACTTTTGAAAATATTTCCAAGTGTATTTGAAAAACAAATTTAGAAAGTGACAATGATTTTCTACCAACAATTACTGTCTTCAATGAAATAGAAAAATGTCTGAAAATATGGTACCTTTTACATTTTTTTATGCAAATTAAAAAAGCTAAATGACAACAGTGTTATCTTAAAATTGTAAATTAAAGTCATCAGTAGTTTACATGGATGAAAAAACATATTTATATCAAAACCGATTGCATATGACGAGAGATATTTCATATCACATACTATGCAGGAGTTCAGCACTAGCCGAGAAACTGCCATTGAGATGAATGGGACTGTTAATAATAGCTTTCTCTAGAAATTATAGAGCCCTTTCCTCAAACTACTTCAGAAATAATGTTTTGAGTCTGTGTTAATTTACCACATTTAATATCCTTGCACACTAAAATATATATATATATATATATATATATATATATATATATATATATATATTCTGGTAATTAAAAAGATGTTTGTTTATGCTTTCAAATTATATTATGGGATTTC